TTCAAAACCGTTGAAGATAGACACCATGATACCTGTATAAAACTGAAAGGAAATTAAATTTTACATCCAGTTATGCAAAAACTGGTATATTGTTCCATTTAAAAAAATTAAGTTATCCATGATTAAAAAGTTCGAAAATTACAGATCCCTACTTAAGAACTCCGTAATATAAATGCATAATTTTCTATTAGCAAACGTGTGCTCTTTTATTGTTAATCCAAAACAGAAAACCAAATCTTTCTAGCTTTCACAGTTTCGGCAATATTGCCAAATTTATAAGACGCTGCAAATGTCATTTTTTTCGAAAATCGTCATATAATTCAAAAACGATACCAGTTAGACCTAAGGTATCCTTAACAAAGTACCATTGAAATTTCACAAAGAATCCAAAAATGCAATAATATACAGGATGTTCCATTTAAAATAGCAAAGTTGATATCCATTTCCGGTAGAAGCGGAAGTCCGCCATTACTGAAACTAATTTTACAATATGTACAATATGGTTCGATTCAACTTTTATCTGAAACATTTTTCGAAAAACTCAATCATAATTCGGCTATGGACCGAGGCAACTTAGGTGGGACAGTCTGTATATATTTCGCCCCGATTTCCAACCCTTATAACTCGCCCCAGGGGCTTTATTAGCACGTATAAAAAATACGTAAACCTTATTTTTGGCCATACTATCGCTGTACCAAATTTCAACAAAATCGGTGAGGGACAGTTCTGATACTTCCCTTGTCAGAGTTGTATAATTTGCCGCAAGCAATAAGTTGGACAATCCCAACATTTTTTTTTGTATAGAATGTTTTGGAGCTATCCTGCCTTTACAGCGTCTTGAATTGTTTTGTGATCTAGATGACGGTTTATGAGGTTTAGATTAATTTTTTATTTGGCCAAATTGATTACATTGATTCATCCTGTATATATATAAATTTGTTAAAAACCTATATTTTGTCGCCGCTGGTTTTTGTGTGTCTAGAAATAGGAATAATGCTGCTCAAAGCCGCTAATTCCGTTAAACTAAGAATGTTCAAATAGTAAGTATAACACAAAGCCAATTTCTTGTATATGGCCGTCAAAACAGAACTTTTCAGTTCTCTTTACTTCTTTGTCTTTCTCTTTCCTCACACTAATTTACTGTCTCCTCAACTCTCTTTACTAATTTCGTATAAGGTTATCATACCATGAAAAATTAAATAATGTTAATGATTAAATTTATGTTTAAATTTTCACGTTAATAATTATAATGGAAATTAATTACTGGAAGATTTTCTAACAGTAACGAATAACGTTTACAAAGCTAATCCAAAAACATATTTTTATCGCGTTGAAAAAAATCGAAAATTTATCAGTATGTTCATTGTAATCCGCTGTAATAAACAATTCCATTTTTTCGAGAAGATTCACTTATGTATACACGAGTTATTATTCATACATGATGCATACTTGAATGGAAAATACTACCTCCCTGAAAACGAAAAAACGTAAACAAGCCTTTTAGATATATAACCGACCTCTCCATTAACGTTTCAGTAGTAGAAACGAGTTAAAACGAACAACAGTAAATTATTTTTTAATTAATAAGTAATATTATTAAGACGGTAAGTTAATTAATTAATTAATCAATTATCTTTGTAAATTATAATTTTTATTGTAGATGGAGTTTAAATTTGTTATATCATTCCTATTACTTTTGGCAATTGGATCTAACGCCAAAAAGTTACCGTTAGAAGAATCGAGGCCTTATGTGATGAGTTTAAGTTTAGAATTGAAAGAAGAAAAAGTAGTAGATTTTATAATTGACTCCCTATTTGCAACAAGTGGTTGGAAAAACTCGACTCCTTATTGTCCCATACAACTCAGTGATGTCTTAAGTATCATACCATTTAAGAAAACTTCAGCTATCGACTTAAACAATGCCATAACTCAACATTTGCATCTCGAAATAACCGACGACGAAATCAACAACTTTGTTCAAAACTTAGATTACACAACGTTGAGTTTTATGGGATTAAACGTCGGTAGTGTGTACAAAAATTTCGTTAAAACTTATTTAGCAACTGATCCGACTAGAATTATGGATGTTTTGAACGTATTGGGTATCGCACAAGACTTTGCGGTAGCTTATGCGTTCGGCAAAGACGCCGATATGTTTGCGGCTCTACAAAAAGCAAACTTTTCGTTAGCAGCTTTAACCGAAATTGAAACCCTTTTAAACGTTACATTCAACATGAAAGATTTGACCAAAGTACTAGGAATTAAAAAATTAAATCCTTTGTATCTCCAGAAATTTATTAACGAGGATTTAACGAATTATTTGGGTTTAACAGAACCACAAGAAACTGATTTCGTAAACTTTTTAAATTCATTTATGCTTGAAGCGGACGATTACAAAGACATTAAAGGATTTAAAATGTGTTATAAAGAGTTAACACAAAACGTAGCTTTGGGCGTGGCAATCTCTCAAAACGAAATTATCACAAACGATTTTAAAATCTATGAAAGTTATAACGACTTAAAAGATTACGTTAATTTCAAAATTATTTCGGTCCAAATGAAAACGCCTTATTTATTTAGTTCCTTTGAAACTTTGGACGTTTTCAACAAAATTACTATAACCGGTGTTTTACCTCAATACATCGAAACGACCACATCATACGCCGATATCGATACTAAAATGTGTACTTACGTTACTATTGGCACTAAAAAATTAATGGAACAACCCGTTACAGCTCGCATGGTCGGAAACGAATTGAAAATTGCCAAAACGTTTATGACCACCTTTAAAACGGGAAGTCCATTGATTTGCGATGGAATCCTTTATGGTTTAGCTGCCGCGGAAAATATGCTATCAATCATTTTCGACGTTTTCGAAGAGAAAGGGATTGAGCAAATTGAAAATGAGGAACTCATGTATGCCTTAAATAATTTGTTTGAGGAATTCGGAATTAATCCTTGCGATTATTTCTGGTGCACTCCACCCGAATCTATTAATGGTGGATTTGTGGTTGTTCCACCAGTTGAAGGAAATTTTGAAATTGGAAGTGAAGAGTATGATTATTATGGGGAAGAAAATTATGAGGAAGAAAATAATGAGGAAGAAAATAATGAAGAAGAAAATAATGAGGAAGAAAATAATGAAGAAGTAAACAAGATTGTTGATGTAGAGGAAGGAAATGTTGATAATGAGAATGTGCAAGGGTTAGAAGAAGCCAACGTTGAAGAACAACAAGTTGCACAAGAACAACCAACTGAAGAACAAGTTGTAGAAGAACAAGCTGAGGTTGGGCAACAACCAGTTGTGCAACAAGTTGTAGAAGAAAATCCAGTTAAAGAACAAGCTGTTCAAGAACAACCAATCGAAGAACAAGTTGCAGAAGAAAATCTAGTTAAAGAACAACCAATCGAAGAACAAGTTGTACAAGAACAAGCTGAGGTTGGGGAACAACCAGTTGAGCAACAAGTTATAGAAGAAAATCCAGTTAAACAAGAAGGTGATGTTGAACAACTACCAGTTGAGCAACAAATTGTAGAGGAAAATCCAGTTAAAGAGCAAGCTGTACCAGAACAAGCAATCGAAGAACAGATTGTACAAGAACAAGCTGAGGTTGGGCAACAACCAGTTGAGCAACAAGTTGCAGAAGAAAGTTTAGATAAAGAACAAGCTGTACAAGAACAACCAATTGAAGAACAAGTTGTAGAAGAACAAGCCGACGTTGGGCAACAAGTTGTAGAAGAAAATCAAGTTGGAGAACAAGTTGATGTTGGACAACTACCAGTTGAGCAACAAGTTGTAGAAGAAAATTTAGTTGAAGAACAAGCTGTGCAAGAACAACCAATCGAAGAACAAGTTGACGTAGGACAACAACCAGTTGAAGATTTTGTAATAGGAGAAGGACAACACACCATTAGCGAAGAACTTGAAGTAGTAAATAAGATTGATGAACAAGTAATTGATGATCAACAAGTTATTGAAGAACAAGTTATTCCACACGGTGAAGTTGTAGATGATGAACCTTGTATTTCTGATCAATTAATAAATGAAGTAAATGAGGAAGTGCAACTTGTTGAAAATTAACCACCACCTAATGAAGAACATGTGGTTACATATCAACAAGAATATTAGAAGTAGAAAAACATAATATTAAAAAAGGTTTTGAGATAGAAAAATTGTAGTTTGGTTAAAAAATAAATAAAGATAAATTGAGAAAACTGAGAAATATTACTCCATATTTTTGATGTAAGAATTTTTCATTACCAATTCAGTTAGGATGTGAGATATTTTTCGCTTTTAACGCCATAATTAATTTCATAAATTGAAACGTTATAATCGATTTGAGTAAGATTAAATTGTTCTTGAGATTGGGCGATTTTTAATAACGATAATAATAGAAAGAAGGGGATTATTTTCGGGTTGTCTAATTAATATTTTTGGCAAGGTTAATTTTAGTTAATTTATTATGTTAAATAAGAAGAAAATAATATTTCATTTTCTTTTAAGAAAATAATATTTCATTTTCTTCTTATTTAACATAATAAATTAACTAAAATTAACCTTGCCAAAAATATTAATTAGACAACCGTTTATCTACGTAAATGCGTTATCTGGAAAGGTACAAACGAAATTCTTTTAATTATTTGCTTTTTGATATAACAGAAATTTCAATTCATAATTTATCTATGTAGAAGTTAAGTGAAACTGGACCACAAGGTAAGTAAATTAATATTTCTCACTTTTCTCATTTTAATTTCAAATTTTTTAGATGGAATACCCGAAAATAATCCCCTTCTTTCTATTATTATCGTTATTAAAAATCGCCCAATCTCAAGAACAATTTAATCTTACTCAAATCGATTATAACGTTTCAATTTATGAAATTAATTATGGCGTTAACAACGAAAAAATACCTCACATCCTAACTGAATTGGTAATGAAAAATTCTTACATCAAAAATATGGAGTTTCAAAAAGTTTTGTCCGATTTAAATATAAATTTCTTGCCGAATTTTTATCAAGAGTTATGGTTACAACCGGGGATTGAGGCTTTATTTAAAGAATCGCCAACAGATTTGCCTAAATTTATACGAAAAATAATCGACAAATTTGAAAATAAAAAAGAAACCTTAAAAAATATTTTGGAATTATTAAACATTGATGTTACCGGATTTATGGACGCATTAACTTTCGACGAAGACGAAAAACTATATAAATACCTAAAAACCGGCAATTACAACGAAACCATTCTACAACAAGTTTACAAAGTAGCCAACACCACATTAGCCGATTTAGTTGGTCTTGCCCAAACTGAGGTTATCACCCCAATTACGCAAAAACCTTTTGGCGAGTGCTTAAAAATTTTTGGAGAAAATAAAGTGGAAAATTTTTTGAATCAAAGTTTATACAACGTTCAAGTGGATAATATTAAACAAGATTCCCTCATTTACTCAATACTAACCAATTTAACATCGATATTAAATGAACAAACGATTTGGGCCGTAGAAACCAAAACCGGAATAATATCAATACCAAAAACGGACCATATGTACGAAGAAACAAAAGATTACGTTCAAGTTGTCCTTAAAAACATTTTAGATGGTAATGACACAAAAATTGTACATAACGTTTTTCTCCATCATGGAAAATCGTACTCCACCATTCAAATTGACAATAACACTTTATTATCATCTGATGTAGCAATAACGAATAATTATAAAACGATTCCCGATAATTGCACATATTTAAAAAAATCCGGAGGTGAATTAGAGATTGTGAACGCCAATATCATGGAGAAGAAAGAATCGTTTCTTTATGTTGCACATCTTGGAATTAATTCTACAATTGGGTCCCCATTAATCTGTAATAAAATCCTATACGGATTATTAACCAATCAAACCGATGGAAAACTTCAATTTTTGTTATTACGAAGTGATTTGGATGATGATGTTGATTACCCCGATGAGGATGACGATCATGATGGTTCTTTATTGCCTCAAGTATCCATGATTTGTGTATTATTAAGTTTTGTTGTGAATTTATTTGTTAAATAATTGCAATTTATAATTTTAAGATTATTTTGTTGTATTGCCTAATTGATGAACATTGTTTGAATATATGTTAAAACTACGAAAGTATTTATTATTTCTGTGCATGTTTTTATTAAATATAATCATATTTGTTAATATGATATGATATTAATATGACAAAATAAATCACAAAATCATAAAATTTCCTCATAGCATGCTAATAAATTTTTTATTCCCTGCCTTGTAGTAGAAATAGCATCTCGTTGGATTCTATTTTTTCTAAAATTTGTAATCCTTTTTCAATTGAACTAAGACCTTGTGTCAAGTTTGCAACCGTCATTTAATCTTCTCATTGAACCGGGTCTAAAGATTCAAATTGTTCAATGACTTGCTCTTCTTTTTGTTCACGCATTTCTACAAGCTCATTAATTGTCCGCTCCTGATTAAGTGAATCCAGCAGTTCTTGAACGTCATCATAATCCACCTCTAAATTTAATTGTCTGGCAAGATCAACCACTTCTTCAATCACATTATCAATATGATCAGCATCTGGCGTTGATTCTTCCTAGATTTCAGTAGTGAAAAAAAATGGACACAGTTTTTTCCAGACGTCATTTAAAGTTTTTTGTGAAACTCTTCCAATAAATCTGACGGCATCTAAAACAAGTGTTCGAGTTGCTTCCAAAAGTCTTTAACAGAAAGCTCGTTGTTTTGTCGCAAACTGGTTGTATTCGGTGGCAAAACGATGACTTGATGCGTTGTCGATTAATAACATCACTTTAAATGGCATTTGTTTTAATTGTAAATAACGTTCGACTTCAGGTATGAAGTGATGACCAAACCAGTCCTCAAAAAGACAAGTTATCACTCAAGCTTTGGCATTCCACTTCCAAATCACGGGCAACCCAGCTTTAGACTTATTTTTTAAATCTCTTGGATTTTATGAACAATCAACTAAAACAGGTTTTAATTTATAATCATCAGTTGACGTTTGGCAGCTTTAAAACGTAGAAAAGTTTTCTCTTCGCGCGCGATAAAATTTCTTTTAGGCAATTTTTTCCAGAACAGACCAGTTTTATTTACGTTGAATATGGTTTTGCTGGTATAGCCCCTTCTCCACTTTCTGCGATGTTATACTATTTACAACGGCTAAAGGCGAAAGCAATCCTTCCTAACATTAAACATTTCATCTTTGGCCGCCTCCCCAGCTTCTTCTTTTAATCTCTTAAAAATTATCTTAGGTTGAGAGCACACCGTGTTCTGATCAACAAGACAATTTTTCACTTTTAATATCACACCATATTTTTAACATTGTTTTCATCTGACCGATAATACCATGACGTTACGAATGATATTTGAATTCAAAGATTGAGCATTTTTTACAGCTCCGCGATCTTTTTCCGACAGATTAAACTTCTTTTCCAATTCTCCAATTTAAATTTTTACATTGAAGTCTTTGATAATATTAAGTTTACATTCCAACGATAATAATTTTCTTTTCTTGTTTGGTGTAAATGAATCAGTATCGGTTCTACTTTGTTTGGATGAAATAGTTACAGTCTATCACAGCCAGCTCAGTGTTGGAAAACGATTCCGTGCGCAACAAACACGTCTGAACTTGTCGTAAACCCGACCACTATGTGTTGTGGTGGGCGGAGTGGGGGAATCGAGTTGAAATCGCGTAACTTCGAATTTATGTAAAACGGGGTGGTATAAGTCTTACTGTATGTAAAATCTATTTCATTAAGATGTAATTAACTTTTTTGAGAGTCATTTTTATCAACTACCTTAAGTTGTGTGTTAATTATTTGATATTCACTGCCAGTCGTTTATTATCATTCTTTATCAATCATCTGGTATGGAATTACACTCTCAAATGCAGAATAAAATAAGCTTTCGAATGATGTCAATTTTGACTAGTGACACTATTTAAAAAAAATCAAGTTGGCGTTGCATCTTGAAAAGTTTGACCGCTAATCAGTTGAAAATTTTGTTAACACAAGATTGTCTTTAGTCAAACTCACATTTCAAATTTCATGTTGAACCGACAAGTAGCTTGTATTTTCAGCTTGCCATCTACTGTCATTTCTTATTCCAGTACTCTAATATTCTCTGCCAAACATATTCGGTTCTCTATAAGACAGATTCTTTGGCAGTCATCTATAGTTCTTTAACAATCCTACAGTGTTTTCTATCAAATATCTGGTATTCTCTACCAAACATCTTCTACACTCCTTTAGCGACTTACAGTTCTTTGTTAATTAGTTATCTATAGTTGTCTACTAGTCATCTCTTACTTTCTGCCAACCATCTTCTATTCTCCACTAACCATTTACAGTACTTTCTCATCCATCTGGTACTTTCTATTAATCATTTGGAACTTTCTCCTAATTTCTGACAGGCATCTAGTATTTATTGGCAATAATTTTATATTTTTTGTCAGTGATTAAATTAACTATGATTGATTATTCGTGATCTAATATTTTTTACTAGTTATCTGAACTTCTCCATTAGTCATCTGGTATTTTCTGGCAGCTATTCTCTATTCTCTTCATTCATGAAGGTTTATTCGTCACTAGTCTGATATTTTCTGTCAGTCGACTGGTATGTACTAGTGATAGAATGCTGGAAACCGGATATTCGGCATATCTATCCGGCCATTATGATTATAATTTCTGGTACATTTCTGAAGTGATACCCTACATTACCACATTATTGCGATATTTCAATAAAAATGAAATTAATAAAAAAGCTGATAAGAGCTGTCATCTTATTTGGATCCAAGATACAAAATGAACTTTGTTGATGCTGATTTGACTCACGAAGCAACTCTAAAAAGAGGGTACTTTAATTAATAATTGAAGAGTGTAAGTTCTAAAGGGTCTAAGTGCCAAAATCGGAAATTTTTAGTTATACATGCAGAAAAGGTCTAAGTGCCATGCCTAATAGTAGTCCAAACGGTATAAGTGCTGGCGATTTATTTAGGTGTTCATCTACTATAGGATAGATGGCGCTTCCTGTATGTGCCAAGCTTTGATTATATATAATATGGATTGAGCTAACTGAATATATCTACTAACAAAAATGTGGCTCAAGGTGAATAGACACAGATGGAAAGCGATAATGTGAAAGTGTAACAAAGATAGATATAAAACGGTACTAAACAGACGGGCGCATGCGCACAAAAGTGTCAAACCTCTTCCATTTGACGTTTATCGTTTTGTTGTGTCACAGCCAGTCACACCGTTATGTTTAAAAATGTATTGTTTCGTGTGCAAAGTTCGCGATAATACAGTTTCACATCACCTGTAAGTATTATAAATGTTACTTCTAATTGATAGTTTTTTATCTTATAAATTAACGCACGCCCATTATATGTCAGTACGCTTCTATGTCTATCTCGGTTCGATCACCTTGCGCAAGCTATCTCTCTCGTTGGCTCAATCCATATTATATATAATCAAAGGTGCCAAGATAAAATTGTAGTCAAAAGGGTATATGTGCCAACACCGTAAACGACACCTGATGGAGTGTTTTGTCATGTGTCAGTTGTTTCCTGTCTGTTCTGTGATTGTTCGTTGTTGCTGTCAGGTATTTTCTGCTAGTGCTGTGTTTATATTATAATATTTTAAATGGAGCGAAAAAGAAGCTCGAGGTACGGAAAGTATAAAAAAAGAACAAAAACGTCTAAGGACAAGTGGCTCAGAGTACAGAACGTATCGAGGAGATTTGAAAGCTGCAAAAGAACCTCTTCGAAATGTAAGTTTTTTTATAATGCTAATCAGGTTAGGTAGAAATTTTTATATCATTTTTAGGTTGATTGTCGCTGTAAATTGAAATGCAAATCCCTTGCTACACAACAAATACAAAGTTTGTTTCATGATTTCTATAAAATAGCTGATCCAATAAAACAGAAGACTTATTTACTTGGATTAATACAGATAGGGAAAATCACGCGCAGGCGTCATGGAACTTATGATGCTCCTGAACAAAGCCGCCGCCAAGTTACTGTGTTTTATGCTGTTCCTAATGGCCACGGCGAACATGTGAACGTATGCTGCAATACGTTCGCCAAAATTTTTGCGTTGTCTAATAAGAAGGTACAGGGTTTGACAGACAAAAAGAAATCAGGTAGCAGTATCTATGTAGACAACAGAGGCCAAGCAAATAAGCCAAGAAAATATACCGCAGAAATTAAACAGATGGTAATGGACCACATTAACAGTTTCCCTAGGAAAGAAAACCATTATAGTCGATTAAAATCTCAAAAAGAATTTCTGAGCCCCGATTTAAACATAAACCGCCTCTTTATAGCATTTAAAAAGAAACATCCTAACACTGCAATAAATTACAGATTTTATTCGGACACATTCCACAAACACTTCCAACATTTTCGATTTGGAAAACCAAGATCTGATACCTGCCCAACTTCAATTCCAAAATAAAGGCAAGCACTGCTGAAGACTAGAGATCCCTTAAAGGGAAACTTGAATTACACCAGCGAAAAGCCGAAAAAGCCAGGAAAGAGCTGCAGAATGATTCAATTGAATCACAGCAACCAACGTCTAAATAATATAGTGATTTCCATAGATTTAGAGCAGGTCATCTTCATACCAACTTTCACTCATAGTGACATGTTTTACAACCGTCAGCTCTCCTGTTATAACTTGGGCATACATTTGGCAGACACCAATAGTGCCTTCATGTGTCTTTGGGACGAATCAGTAACAGGAAGAGGAGGTTGTGAAGTCGGATCTGCGCTCTTAAGAGTTCTTCTTTCCAACAATACGTTCGCAACTAAAAGTAAACTAGTCATTTGGAGTGACAACTGCATTGGACCATATTTGTACCATCAGATATAGAACGGATGATTAAAGAAGCTCGTCATCAAAATCCATTTGAGGTTGTCAACTTATTTGAAAATGATTTCAAGGATCTGCAGAAGTTCGCGGATACTTTCATAAATACAGCAAATCTACAGATTTCTCAGGCTTCATGGATCTGAATTTCTAGTGAGAACCCAGGCCATGTAAAAATGAAGAAAAATTTCAGCGAGTTCGAAGATTGGAAAATCTGCAATGTATTAAAAAGAGGGAAAAGTATCCAGGCTCTTCGTTCGTACCAGATACCTCCCCTGCAATGTAAGAATCGGATTACTGCAGCCAAACTCAAAGATCTCAAAGCTATGCAAGACTATATTCCACTTAGACATTATCGTTTTTATTCAGACCTGATTGGTAAAACCTCTAAGCTCATGCAGGAATAATAATCCTCCATAAATATTAATTTTAAAGTTTTTAGTTACTTAGTTTGAAATGTATTATGGGTTTAACTTTTTTTTGCAATAAAATATCCGAAAACTGATGGAATGTTATGTTATTTGTAGTATTCAATTCCTTCTCAATAATATATATTAAGGTACATAGACCCTTTGAAAAAAAATTAACAAGGCACTTAGATCTTTTTAAGATTTCCTGTTTTCATTTTTTTTTGCAGTCCAATTTAAGCTTTTGTCTGCACTTTTTCCATGGGTTCTACCTAAAGTAACATGTTCTATGTAAAAAATATATAGTTACAGCTGAAATACTGTTTCCAAGATAGTTTTCTTTGATTATCTCGCTTTCATGTTTTTGGCACTTAGACCCTTTAGAACTTACACTCTTCAATTGGCGATATTTCCACAAGGATCTTTCAAGAAATTAATTTTATAGTGAATTTTGAAAATTATGGATGAAAATTGCAACATCAAAATTTTATCGAAACTTCAAATATTGTTTTCTCAAAAACTAAAAGGTATTTTTCAAAACGGGTTGGTTCATTGGAAAGAGGGCACTTTTATTAACGCTTTGGGAAATTTTCATACTCATATTCCAAGAACTGGATTTTATATGAATTTTTAAAACTTAATCGGCGAAAATTGCAAAATTCGAAAAAATTTTCGATTATTTACAAAATTTATTTCTCAAAAACTAAAAGTGATTTTTCAAAACCGCTTGTTGCATTAAAAAGAGGATACTTTAATTAATAATTGCTGATATTTCCACAAGGATCTTTCAAGTAATTAATTTTATAGCGAATTTAGAAATTTATCGATGAAAATTGCAACATCGAAAATTTTTTCAAAACATCAAATATAGTTTTCTCAAAAACTAAAAATAATTTTTCAATGCGGGTTGGTTCATTGGAAAGAGGACACTTTGGGAAATTTTCATACTCCTATTCCAAGAACTGGATTTTATATGAATTTTTAAAACTTACTCGGCGAAAACTGCAAAATTCGAAAGTGAAAATCAAATTGAAAGTGATTTTTCAAAACGGCTTGTTGCATTAAGAAGAGGATACTTTAATTAATAATCGAAAGTGATAACAGCAACAGTCCTGTTAGTAATGAATGTGCCGGTATCCGACCGGATTTTAAAAAATGACCGGATAGGTCGGATACCGGATATCCGTTCCACTACTAGTATGTACCGTCATTCATCTGGTATTTTTTAACAGTTACGCTGAATTTTCTGCTGATTTTTTTTGAAAAGCATCTTCCAAACATCTGGTATTCTTCGTCAATCAACTTCTCCATTAGTCTGGTTTTTGCTGCTTACCATTCATTATTCTTTCTATTTATCTTGTATTCTTTGCAAACCATCTTGGTCCATTTAGGATTCAATCATTTAGGATTTTTTGCCATTCACCTGGTACTACTTCTGAGGCATTTTGTATTTTCTACCAATCATCTCGTAGTTTTTGGCAATTATGTGGTATGCCACACCAATTATAGTCTAGTATAGCCAATTATCTCAAGTCTGGTGTAACTCTTTTTGGTATTTCCAACACTGTTTTATTAGCTACTTTCAGTTTCACTTTTTAAAATAGCAGCTTCGCCATATCTTTTCAGCAGATGAACCCTAGTTTTTTAGAGCGGTGTTACTCATTGATCACCCCTTTTTCCTGTCCTTGTAGATTAGATTTTGTAATAATTATTTCCTCGTTTCTTATTTCTCCCTCTCGCTTTTTATTTATTCTACGTTCTTCTCTCTGCGTTTTTTCTAGAATTTACTAGATCCTTTCTTTCATTCAGGCTTCTTAATTTTTTACTCAATTTTGAGCTCTTATTGTGGATCCTTTACGTTACTGCATTTAAAACCTTGCAAATTGATTATTCGTTTTTTAACTATAATCTTAATAGCTTAGTGACATCTTTGTTCTATCATTTTAGAGATTTTAAGGATAAAAAGGATATTTGAATAACTTCAGAAATCTGTATTTAAAATGTTATCGAAGATGCTACTTGATAGTAGAGGGCGTATAATGCCTGGAATCGTTCTAATTTAGTTCCAACGTTTTAAAATGAATAATGTTAGTTATGCATTAATAAATAATCAGTTAAAGAGTTTGTTGGGAAATATAAAATGATGAAATATGAATATAATAATTCACTTTTATTATATTTATATAGACATTGCGAAATACGTTAAACTCTTATTCCCAGAAATAATATCAGTTGAATTGTGCATATATTAAATATTTGCACTTTACCTACATAATATTCCAAATAGTATTATTCACAACTAAATTGAGTGTACCTAATTTGATAATCACATTAAACAAGTTAAATTAGCAAGGTGATAAGAGATGTTAGATATAAATATGGACCGAAATGAATCCCTCATCATATGTAATTTAACTTGAAGAAAGTTGAATCGATGGGAATAAATAATAGAAAGGTAATCTTTTTTATAACTAATAATTTACAATTAGTTTTAATTATTTCATTTTCTAGATGAATGTAAAAACATTCAAAATGATTATGTTCCTTGTTACGCTTACTTTTCTGCAACTCAACGTAGAGGCACAACTAGTTGATAAATGTCTACCAATTTATGAAATCAAATTTTACAACGGATCTTCTGCCAATATTATGGCCGTTCAATTAAAACAGGAATATTTATCAGTATCGCAAGCACAAACAATATGGGATAATAAAAACAATGAAACATTTTATTTGGAAAATTTCTTAAATAATTCAATTACAGTTAATGTTACTGATATATCGACGAAACCTGGTAACTTATTTTCTTCAATACAAACCGATCACTCACACGAAGAATGTAGTGGGATACAAGTATCGGTTAACACAATACTTGAACCACCTTTTTGTATTATCCTAATTAAAGATAAAACTAATGGCACAATTCTACCACTTAATGTTACTACTATAGTAGACAAAGATTTTATTTATGCAAATTATACTGGTGGTGCAATTCCGCTTGGAACTCCAATAGCATGTCACAACGATTCTTTTGGTGGTTTGCTAATTAATGAAACTAATAATCAATTCCTATTTCAAATACTAAAAGAAGATAGTAGTACTACGGGTGTAGTAGGAGCTGCACCAAAATTACTTAGTATGTCAGTTATTACAGTTGTTTTAGCATACCTATCACTTAATATCTAATAATAAAACCTTAATAAAAGCTATTATTAATTATTAAAATGGAATATTTTACACTTAATGTATACTTATTAATAAACAATTACAAATTTAAGATAACATTGTTTGAAATTGTCAACAGAAATGTCACAATTTAATTTTATTATTTTCTCACAATTACTTCGTATCATATTATCTAAAAATTTTTCCAACGAATCCACGGAAACTTTTATTACGATTTCACCACCAGATGATAACAAAACAGTTTTCAACGAAACTATTATGTTTTCCGATGTAACCCAATATTCTAAATACGTAGTTGGAATATTAGAGTTTTCCACCGATGATATATACGATTTATGTTGCGGAAGTATGTTATTACCGGATGTGGTGTTATTTTCAACTTCTTGTAGGAAGAAATTGCTCTCCCCAATTAATTATAACAACATAATTATCCTTGCGGGATTATCAAATCGAATACACGACACTCCAAAGGCTTACGTGCAAGAGTGGATGGAACACCCTCAATACCACAAAGCCGAGTATATAATTAAAAATGATATCGGTTTGATTGAAATGAAAGAAAAATTTAAAATCGGACCTAATAGAGCCATTATGTTTTTATCGTCGAAGAAATTGGTTGAAAAGGTTGATTTTGAAAACGAAGAGAATAAAATGATTTGTAATTTGGTGACATGGCCCTTTGATTATGTTGATTGGAAAAGTGAAGGGGATGATATGAATTTAACCGTAACGTTGGTTTATATCGTACCAAGAAATTCTTGTAGAATATTAGGTGTTCCTGTTATTATTACTTCCGATCAATTTTGTGGTACTTTATTTTCGGACGATGAAGACCTTGAGAGCCATTCAGGAGGTCCGCTAATTTGTGGAAACGTTCAGTTTGGGATATTCACTAATACGGTTGAAGATGCAAACAATGAAACGATTTTGATTTTTACCAGGCTTGATATTTACGAAGAGTATCTTAAAAGTCATTTCCCCAAGATTATTTATGTAGATGATTTTCCAGAGAAAAGGAAATCTTTATTTAAAGGTGGAATTGATAATATTTCATTTAGACTTCCAGGAACTTCATCATCTGATTTATGTTGCATTGATAAATATTCATTTTATGATATGTTGTTTATTATTGTTTTGATAACTAAAGTATTGTAATAATTCCATATATTCTTTTATTTCTATATAGTTTTACTAGAAGGCTGTAAATTTGTTAATTTAATAAGCTTAGTATCAGACTTGAGGAAATCACTACTCAATGAAAATCTGATGAGTATCTTATATTTTTATTAATGCCAAATATTACTTTAGGCAAATTATCACCAATCTAGTTACCCGGCATATGGAACTATGCTCTTTGGAGTCAACTAGGCACCCTAGAATAAATGGGTGTATCATTTAGGTTATGATGATGAATAGATGTGTTAATCATTGCACAAGTTGACTAGGCAAGAATAACAAATGTATAGCAGAAGCAATCAGGTACCTGTCGTTGAAATTATGAGATAACTAATAAAGAATTCTATATGACTGAGATGGAATGCTAAATGACTGAACGAAATTACAGCTTGAAAATGAGAATACATAGTACAATATACTAAATTGGTAGCAGAAAATACCATATAGTTGGTGTGGCATATCAAATAAGATAATAATTTCCGATGATTGGCAGAAAATATTAAATGGCTCAGAAATGATACCAGATGAATGGCAAAAACTCTTAAATTAATGACCAAAAACTGTATATGATTTGCGGAGATCAGAAGATAACTGACAAATAATACCAGATGAATGACAATAAATACCAGACGACTGAGAGAAAGTATTAAAAATAAATGTTGATGGATGGAGAGAATAGAAAATGGGAAATTGCTAGAAAATATCAGATAACTAATGAAGATCTTTAGATAACCCTCACGATATAATTACGATAAGATTGCAAGATGTTAATACATTCACATGGCTATATTGTCTCTATTCATGACTTGCTGCTGCCTTCTTAATTATTTCAGCTACAGTTTTCATACTCAGGTTTTGACGGAGGTTGCTGTTGCGTATGTATCATCGATGATGTTTCCCAGTATGTTGGTAACTTTGGTACATCCTGACATTTGACTCTCATACAACCATAGAGAGGATGTTGATTTGTAGGAAGATAATTCATTAGGAGATTTTGCAATCATAATAACTTCTACTACCCGCCAAAGTCTGTTAACACATCTCAGTCTGAAGACAGCATTAATCAAGTTTGTCAGTTCAACTATGGATTTTCTTGGTAGATTTGTTACGAGATCATATCTCGAAGCTTTCTTAGGTTTCACATTTTCATCTCTATTATCACTTCTTTCGTCGACGTCAAGATTATTCTTTGCTCCGTTCGGATGAGTTCTTATTTTAATATATTTATTCTTCGTCATTATTATCATTGAGTATGAACGTTCCTCCCACATGATCCAGATGATTGATCCTGAACTCTTTTCGTTAACTTTTAGTACTTTATAACTAGTAATCTGCATTTCTGTCAGTTGATGTGTTACTCAGAAAGGTATTAATTGATGTATTTTTTATATTTTGCATTGTTGACACAACACCAATGTTGAATTCCATAATTCGGTAGTAGTTTGAGAACTTATTGGTAAAGTTTCAGCTTGTTGTATACTATCAGGGCTAAATATCTGCCCAATAGCCAGTACATTTTTTTCTATTTAAGTCTGAGTTCTTTATTATTTTTTCTTGGTATATGGTTTAATGAGATTATAAGATTTTTGAATATTGTACAGGAAGAATACCAGATGAAAAACAAATAACTGTAGATGGTTAGTAGAGAAAAGCTGATGTTTAGCAAAATATAGCATGGCTAGCAGAAAATACAAAATGATTGACAAAGTGCTGTAAATGGCTGGCGAAGAATCAAAGATGACTGGAAAAATACTACTAAATGATTAATAGATGGCTGTCAAAGAATCTGTCTGATAGATAGAAGAACAGAAGATATCCGGTAGAGTATATTAGAAAGATGGTACAAGAAAGAACAGTAGATGGCAGACTCGGAATAGATGTATATTAAATCACAACTAATCAGAGGTAGTGGATGACTGTTAGAAGATACCAGACAGTTGATAGATCCCTCACATGGCTGGCGAAGACTAGGACCTGGTTGTATAAATAATTAGCAAAGAATACATGATATTTGGCAGAGAGTACCAAAAGATAGTACAGATTTCTAGGTGATTGAAAAATTATACTTGATAAATGATAGAAAATACCAAACGGTTGGCAAAAAAATGTTGATCGTAAGGAGATAATGTTGACAAAGAATACCAGATGGATCATAAATACAACAGAGTAAATAGTACAGATTTCTAGGTGATTGAAAAATTATACCTGTTAAATGACAGAAAATATCAAATAGTTGACAATATACTGTAAATGGCTGTGGCAACCGCCACATTCATTATAATATAATATCATAGTGATAAGTTATGTTAACAAAAAATAAAAAACCATAACTACAAAAAACAATAAACAAAAATGAAATAAATTAATCAAATTAAAAACGTAAAATTGGCGGTCTCATTTTTTATATAGTACAAAATAATCAATTTCAAATTAACTTGTAGTATATGGTATCGCTTGGTATCTGCCGACCATCTTCTTCGCAAGTTTCATGACATCAATCTTCATCTTCATGGTTGTACAACATTTTCTAAAGTCGATCTAGTACGTGCATACCATCAGATACCTGTGGCTGAAGAAGATGTTCACAAAACAGCCATTTCAACACCGTTTGGCTTATTCGAATTTTCAAGAATGCCATTTGGCCTCAAATATGCTGCTCAAACATTCCAACGTTTCATGAACGAAGTAATTTCAGACTTAAATTTCATTTTTGTCTACTTGGACGACAGCTTTGTTGCCAGTAAAAAAGAGACCCATTTAATTCACTTATCGACACTCTTTGAAAGATTAAGCGCTTATGGTATCAATATACAACCATTAAAATGTCTTTTCGGCGTTTCTTCTTTAGATTTCCTTGCACATGAAATCTCTTCAGAAGGAATCAGCGATTAAGAGACTTTGGGAGATAGCTGCCAAAGAATCTGTCTGATGAAGAACAGAAGATATCCGGTAGAGAATACTAGATGGATGATACAACAAAGAGATGATACAATAGACTTGATATGTGTATATTAGATTACAAATAATCAGAGGTTGTAGAATGTAATGTATGACTACTAGAAGGTACCAGACAGTTGGTAGACCCCTTACATGGCTGGCGACGAATAGGACATGGTTGTATAACTAATTAGCAAAGAATACATGATGTTTGGCAGAGAGTACCAAAAGATTAGTAGAGATTTCCAAGTGATTGACAAATTATACCTTTTAAATAACAGAAAATCTGTTAGATGATTAATAGATGACTTTGGGAGATAGCTACCAAAGAATCTGTCTGATGAAGATCAAAAGATGTCCGGTAAAGAATACTAGATCGCTGATATAATAAAGAACAGTAGATAGCAGACTAGAAATATTTTGCAGAGAGTAAGAAAAGATTTGTAAAGATTTTCAGGTGACTGACAAATTATACTTGATAAATTATAGAAAATACCAAACGGTTGGCAAAAAAATGTTGATCGTAAGGAGATAATGAGGACAAATAATACCAGATGGATCATAAATACAACAGAGCATATTATAGTACTGGCAGAAAATAGCAGATGATTGACAAAAAATTACTAAACGACTGGCAGTGAACGTCAAATAAACAACAGACAACTTCAGCTAACTGAAAAATAATAAAAAATGACTCTCAAAAAATACCAAATAATTCACAAAGAACTATAGCTGTCTAACAGAAAATAAAATATGATTGGCAGTAAATACCAAATATTTAGAAAAGGTTGAGAATTCATGATGATAAATTCTGGTGCTGTTTTTTCTAATTGAGTTCTGTACAGTAATAGAGTTGATGAAATTATAATTAAATAAATCGTATCTCAAGAACGAACAGAGATATCATCTCAAAATAAAATCGAATTTGAAGCAAATTTAGTAAAAATTTGATGTCCAGAATTCTCCGGCGATTCTCCGTTCCTACAAGTTTCGACAATGTGATTTTTTAATTGATCTCCTCACTGTGGCTTCTGAGAGTTCAAATTTGTAATTACCAAATTTAAAAAAATCATATTTCTAAAAGTAATTGAGATATCAAAATGAAACAAAAACTACTTTATCGTAAATTTAATGTAGTTGTAAGATCCCAAAAAGAATTCCTTAGTTCTTCTAAATCCTGATAATACGGCTATTTTAATTTAATTGTGAACAATTATTGAGGTTAGGTTGATCAAATACAATTTAAAAAATCGTATCTCAAGATCGAACAGAGATATCACTATGAAATAAAAACAATTTTAAAGCAAATTTTATTAAAACTTAATGTCCAGAAAGGCGTTTCTCTATTTCTACAAATTTCGACATAATTTTTTTGATTCATTCTACGTTCACAAGTTAAGCTTGTAAATACCAAATTTAAATAAATCATATTTCTAAAAGTAATCTAAATATATATAATATATGCGGAAAACTAAAAATAATAATCATAACAAAAATAAATGCCTGTTGAGAGATTGCGTAAATCATATAAATTGCTAAAAAAACAAAATCTCTGCGTAAAGAAATATTTCCGTTTTAGTAAGTGCATCACTCCATTTGTTCATAAATTCTCATATTATCTTTTATTTCATTTTGGTTTATTTTTTTGTTTTTATAAAAAAAGTAATCCAATGAACAAATAATGCAGAGTAAATAGAACTGAAAAGAGTGGAAATAGAAGAGATTGATAACACGAATGGGTCAAGTCAAATCATGATATTTCCCTTTCAAATTTCCTCCCTTAATTTCCCACATTTGTCGGATCCCTCTTTTTCCCTCAATACCCAGCAATTAGTCACCATGATTCCAACCGAAAAAAATCTCTCATTTATCCCTAGCAAATTTTATCGTGCGGAATGTAGAAATATTTTAAAATTGAGTAACACAAATATTAATAACTTAGAAAACGGAACGCAATATCTAAACCTGATATTTCAATGCCGTAATACATCTCAATTATTTACAACTTATATTTTCCCTTCGTGGAATTTCATTCAGTTTCAAGCGCAATTTTGAGAACTTCGCTTGTATGCATTAAATTTGTTAATAAAAACATAACCAACATAAATTGAAATAGAATTCTTTCCACATACTTCCGTAAAAATTTCTATGTAACCTAATTCTCCATTCAAATTGATCGAAAACCCTCCACTTCACTCCCATCATTAAGAACGCAACGATTTGCATATCGGCAATTAGCCGGCTTATCGAGATTTCAATTGCTTTTGCAATCATCGCAGTGTTTCCGCTCGAAGTTCCGAGCAAAAGACGTCAACGAGTTGGACGTGTTGATAAGAGAAAACAAAACGGATGTAGTCGTTTTAGGATTTCGGAACAAAAGGAAAATACGGGGTGAGATCACCTTTAGAGATGTCCACTGGACGAGAGAAAATAAAGGCCACTCCAATCGAACACACCTTCGGCTTCGTTGCGATCGACGCAGGCGTCGCGACGCCCTGTTTAAGGGAGGACGTCGTTGCAAAAGCTCAGTTGCTTTCGAACGGGGATTCGCGTCGCTTTGGCCTACCACCAAAAAAGCTCTCGTCTCATGTAAGTTGATTTTGTTAACATGCATGTCTTATTATAAGAGATTTATGAAATGTATTTGATGAAATTTGTAACGCAATTTTTTTTTTTTTGTGAAGATTATTGCGGATAATTTATTAATTTAGTTAAATTATTAATCTGTAATATTTATTTATTGGGAAAATGTTTGGTGAAAGCTTTTACCAGTAAAAGCTATATATAGTTTGAACAAACATTATTTAAAATTACCATCTCCGAATTCTCTATTATAAAATTATAATACATACTTAAAAAAAGATGAGTTAAACATTTTTTTAAAATATTTATTCCATATCGACCATCTCACACTGTTTATTTACTACTTTGGCACTCACTATTCATTATGACGCAAAACAATTACTTTTTTGTAAGATAATCGTAAATTTGATCAAAACAATAAGGGATGGTGTTTACCATTTAATGGGATTTACGAGGTCGTCATGAATATTCTTCTAATATTAACATTTTAAAATTCATTAACAATTTAAGACCGAGCTCCATCCCAACGTTCTTTAGAAAGAAAAATGGAGATTGTATTTGCGCCTTTGGGAAATGAGTTCGCGTGTGTGTCGACGCGAATTCTAAAAGTGTCGGGTTTTGTTCGAGATATTTAGAGACGACGACACAAAACGAGAACGTAGTGCCCATCCTCAGGTTCTTATTTGCATTTCCCCGTGAGAACGTTCTTATGGGAATCGAAATGGCCGCATTGCAAAACCGAGAACTTTGTACGATAACCAAGAAGACTAAATGATATTACGTCGTTGACCCGAATATGAAACGATTACTTTATAGATAAACAGTTTTATGCTGCGTTGAGATTTTAATGGGTGTTGTTTTAAATTGCGGGGTATTGAAGTGGGTGGTTTAGGTAAACGGGATTAAATTGCGTTTAAAATTATGCGCAGAATTTCAATGAAATTGCGGGCGGGAATTTCACTTCTCAAAAGCTGCCGAGTTGTGGAGAGTAAAGTTAAAGGAACTTCAAGCTATCATTGATGTTTTATTGCTGGAGGTGCATATGGAACATGAGATAATGAAGATAGGATGGGAGTTCAAGTTGGTCGGGGAATACAATGGAAAGCTTGGTTTATGAGAATAACATTACGAAATAATAGACTCCAGTAATTGTAAGGAATTACAAAATCGATGATGAGTAGGATCAAAGAATCAAAAATCTTTGGTGTAAATTTACACTATTATTCCGGATAAAAAGGGAACAAAAATAGTTTACATAACTTTATTTCAGATCTAAATTTATAAATTAGCGATTTTGATCTTTTGATCTGGTTAATAAAAATAAACCAAAAGAATACACGATGAGTATTTTTTTATAGAAAATCAATTCAATTAAAATGAAATAAATTGAAAAAAAATTGTTTTCCGTAATCAAAGCTTATTTCAGGATTGTTTTAATCCTCTCGTTCAGTGAACTCTGTCATTATTAACAAACAAATTAAAATGTTCGAAATAATTCATCGTTAATTAATGTTAGTAATTACAAGAAATCGATAATTTAAATTCTATTTTATATCATAAACATAATTATAATGAAATTGAAAAATACTCTTGCTTAATTATCTTATTATTATTCCTGTTTAAGTCTGTTTAATAATCGTTTATTTTTACTAAAACGTTTGCCTTTTAATACTAATGATGTTTATTATCGATAAAAAGATGTGAGATATTCTACGAGGTTTAGAGAAAACTGTTGATATTTACTCACCGGGAAAGAACTAAAACTAAAAAAGAATTGGATGTGAAACTGAAAACTCAATAAAAGAAATCGATCATGAAACGCGGGTGAGTACTATTTAATAGCATTATGGATGAAGTTATTGATGCTGTTATTATTGCTGAACGGGGAATAACCGTATTGCATGCGAACGATGCTATTTTATTATTAAAAAGCGAAGACGATTTATAAATACGGCAAAAACAAAGCGAATAACAAGATCGGTCGAAATCAAGACACTCAGAATTAGTGATGTAAGAAATCTACTAACTGCAACTATAGTTCTATTAGTACTTTTCAATAAGTAGATACAGTTCCCGATTCTTTCTCGAATTCATTCGTTACTTAGTCACTGCAGTTACGGATTACTTGCATCATAGGTACTTATTTTTTTCTTGGGAATCAATTCTTGGGACATAATTTAATAAAGCGTATATATTAAAATTATACGTACAAATTAGTATAATATGACGTCTAAATATGTAGTCATATTAAGGGTGTAAAATAAAAAAAAAGATTAAATAAAAACAAATTAAATTACGTTTTAAATATATTAAATATCTTTAACAAAAGAGAATAGATTTTCAAAAAAGTAAATTATAAATTTTTATTCCTAATATCCATTAAAATTCAAAAATATTAAAGTTCTGAGATGCTCTGGAGTTAAGCGAGATCTTTTCTCGGAAAATATTTGCCCAGCTTTAGAGAAAACTCGTTCTGAAGGAACCGATGGGACTACAGTGCAAAGGTATTTCTTTGCTACTTTAGAAAGACATGGATATATATTTTCTCGACATTTCCAAAATTCCAAAGAGTTATCTTTCCTATTTAGAAACGGTTCTTCTATATATTGCTTTAATCCAATTGTTGAGGTAAATGAATTTTTTATTTTTGATACTTCATTATCAAAATGTATCCAAAGCAGATTTGATTCCTCTGATTTTTCAGCATCATCATTTCGCAATTGCTCAAAACTGCCAGCATTAGTGGTGTTAGAATGCTGTATATCCTGAAGGTCCTTTGTAATTTTGCAATTTTTATAATTTCTTCAGATAAAATTCTAGATTTAAATCTAGGATCCATTAGGGCTGGACAGGAATACTTGCAAGCTTGCAAGTCTTTGAAGCGTTTTTCAATAGAATTTTGAAGAATTTCTGCCATTTGGTATACCGTGGTATCTCTGTATGTTTCGTTTTGGATGTCATTGTAAACTTTGTTTTTAATCGAATTTATCAATACCACTATTTTTGATGAAGACAGGAAATGTTCTGTACTGAACTCTTTAGTAAGCTGTTCAAATGGTTTCAGCAACTTAACGACTTCTTCTAGTACGTTCAATTCATGACTAGTTAGTCCCGGTACTTGATTAAGGACATAACCTATGCAGGATTCTTTCAAACATATAATATGTTGACTTCCACGTTGTTACAACATCCATTTTTAATTTCAGCGCCTGTTTGTTATGTAATATTTGCATCGCTGAAAGCTTTTCAGCTGCCACGGCGCTTTTATGGAAATGTTTTACAATATTTTTTATTTTCATCCTAAGCTCCTCAATTACAATTAAGCTGTCCATAAAGATGAGATTTAAGTTATGAGCTGTACAAGAAATATGTTCCCAATTTCCTAAACGTACAGCTGCTTTTATATCTGCTGCGTTATCTGTTGTTATGCACACAATTATTTCATTTATATCCCATTCATTACCTATTCGTACAATCTCATTTCGGAGGTTCTCGGCAGTGTGACTATTCGTGAAATAAAAACAATCTAAGAGAAAATTTTCCAGGCTCTATCAATGAAATGGACGAAACAACTGAAATATTATTAATCAATACACATATAAAAAACACTGTTGAGTATGCCTATGTTTAAGTTTCTTTTGTAATTACTAAATTAATGTAAATGTTACTAAATTTATATCTAATTAATGAAAACACCTTACCAATACAAACTCAAAGGTAATTCGGGATTTTGGTACTACTTAGAAGCCCACCAAAAACTCTCTATCATCTCGTCGCATTTAACTGCGATAAGATGGTCTATTCATTTTCTTTTTTTTCATCCACTTTAGCTTCAGATAGGGTCTTTCCCTCATTGTTCGTTTCTTATCCATTATAGTCACATGAATTCTCTTCATGAATTTTATCAATACGTCTGCTCTCGCTCCTTCATCTGTTAGCCCTACGGTTTGTTTACTTATAGCTTATCCATGAGCCTACCACAATAGAAGATGGTGTTTGAAGGGGTGTCCCACTTACCACATTCACATCAGCTTCTATCAGTTTCCAGTTTCTTAATCTCGTGTAGGTATTTTGCGAAGCTACCAAGGCCGATGGTCACTTGCGTTATCTAGTAATCCGTAAATAGTTCAATACTGCATCGTGCCGACGAGTTTTTTATAAACACGCTCTCCCATTCCATACTATCGTTTCTACCACTTCGCCTTCAAGTGCTAGTTTATGTAACCTGCCCTCTCCTAACTAGGAGATCCAATGATGGAGAGGCTAGTATACTTCCATTCCATCGGACCCAACTTTTATATCACAAGACGTTCTCCCATCCTCTCAGCTTATTGTTGTTGCCATCACTTCTGTTCCTGTGCGATGGTCCGTCGATTATTTACATCAATCTGGATATCACATTCTGGATTTTTGCTGCTTTTTGAGATACAGATTTTAAGTGGGCTGTCATTCTGATATTTCTTTTCAGAGTTATCTTTGTTTTTAATACTCCCTTGATGGATTGACTTTGAAATGTTGTTTACTTCTTTCGTTGCCCCTTATACTACAACAATAAGATCATTTACCTAGGCTACTACACCGACTTCTTCATATATTAAGACGAGGATTTTATTGTAGTGCCGATTCCATAACGTGTTACCTACTCTAGTGTCATATGGATACCATTTACATCACGCAAAATTGTCTGTGCTGGAGTGATACTTTATTTATTCCCCTTACCATCTCCATTACTATCATATCCATGTAAACCTTTTGTTGATCGTTGTTTCCAGCAACTTTCCAGCTGAACTTAGGAGTTAGAAGGGGCAATATGATTGTAGTTGACTAGGTTTCGCAGGTTTTTCAACCAACACTATTTGAGCCTCCTTTCATATCTACGGGAAGTTATCTAAGGACTGCCCACGGCTACGCTTCAACTCCAGCTCAAAGTATTTCGTTGGTGACATTATCTCTCCAACATCTCCTTCATGCCCATCATATCCTTCTTAGTAAACTCTGTCCGAGTG